TGCTACTAAGCGCGCCAGCGCGCTCTGCAACCCTAACGCGCTAGTGCGCCTTGCTGCCCAGCGCGCCACTGCTGCATGAGCTGCTGCTACTGCTAAGCGCTGCTGTTGCTGCTCCTACTGCTACTGCAACGACTGCTGCTACTACTACTGTGCTGCTGCTGCTCGTGCTGCCACTGCTGGCACTACTGCTGTTACTGCACTAGCCTGTGCCTGCTGCCCCCGCACTCTACTACTCTACTGGCCTCCACAGTCACTACAGCAGTCGCTACTGCTGCCCTTGCGCTGCTGCTACTGACTGTCACTTGCCTGTCATGGCCACTATCACGGTAGTCACAGCGGCTAGGGGTGGACAGCAGCAGCCCACAGCCTCTCCCGGACACGCAATCCCCGCAGCAACTTTGCGAGTGGGTTATTCAGCGAGCCCGTCCAGGTGGTGGAGGCTTTGGTTTTCTGCGTACTGCACAGCGGCGGCAGCAGAGTCAGCAGGAGACATTCTCCCCGCATCTGCATAGTGAGTTGTTTTCTCAGCGATGTGTCCCTGGTTCTGGGTCTGCTGCCGCACTAGGTGCTTGTGAGTCTGCTGCCGCTCCAGGTGCTAGTGAGTCTGCTGCAGCTTTAGGTGCTCGTGCGTCTCCCGCCACAGGTCCTGCCTCAGCTGAGGCCTTGCACACTTTCACACTTGACTCAGGCGCGTCACGTTGTTTCTTTCGTTACTGCACCACACTCACACCACTTGCTGCACCGGTACCAGTCTCACTGGCTGACCCCACTGGGCGCCCAGTAGTCGCACGAGCCTCCACTGTCCTCCCGTGTCCAGCAGTCCCCTCCGGTTCTCTGTCAGGTCTCCACCTCCCCACGTTCTTGACGAACTTGGTGAGCAACGCTTGTCAAACTTATATGCTATAGTCCTGTGTAGGTTGTAGTGGGGTAGTTCATATAAGGTACAACACTTTTAGGTTTCCTACTTGTACCCACCTGCTTGCCAGTTCAGTCATTCGTTCCTTCACTATTCTGACATGGTATTATGAGCAGGTTCCCTCGTGGGAACATTTTTTTTAGGGCCCACCATGATTAAAACCTTTTTTTCTTGCCCTGCCCGAAGCACGCCTCGCGCCTGCCTCACCTGCGCCGTCGCGCGCCCTGCCCTAGTGCCGCCCGTCGCGGCCCTGCCTTCTCGGGCCCGTCGCGGCCCTCCCCTAACGGCCCGTCGCGGCCCCCTGCCTTCTCGGCCTGTCGCGGGCCTTGCCCTGTCGCCACCTCGTCGCGGCCCCCGACCTAGCCGCCTAGTCGCGGCCCTGCCCTGCCGCCACCCGCGGCCCTGCCTTGCCGCCCGTCGCGGCCTACCCTAGCCGCCCGTCGCAGCCCTACCCTGCCGCCCCTCGTCGCGGCCCCGACCTTGCCGCCCGCCGCGGCCCTTGCCCTGCCGCTGCTCGTCGCGGGCCCTGCTCTACCACCGCCCAGCCACGGCCCTGCCCTGCTGCCGCCCTGTCGCGGCCCTGCTCTGCCGCCGACTCGTCACGGCCCTGCCCTTCAGCCGCCCCAGTCGCGGCCCTGCTCTACCGCCGCCAAGTCGCGGCCCTGCCATGCTGCCGCCCCAGTCGCGGCCCTGACCTAACCGCCAGCTGCGGCCCTGCCCTGCACCCGCCCCTGGTAAGCACCCACGCCGCCCGGCCGAGCCGCGCCGCCCTGCCGAGCCGCGCCGCCCTGCCGAGCCGCGCCGCCCAGCCGAGCCGCGCCACCCAGCCGAGCTGCGCCGCTCTTTCGAGCCACGCCGCCCTGCCGAGCCGCGCCGCCCTACTGAGCTGCACTGCCCTGCCCGCACTGCTCCTGCTGCTACTTGCTGTTTCTGTTCCCACTGCTGCTACTGCTGCTACTTTGCCGCTATGGCTAGCCCTAATGTTCTTACCTTTGATGCTGAGGGGCGTGCGGTTGACTTTGATGTGTGGGTTGACGACATGCAGCTCTTTCTTCGGTGTGACTCTAAGGACGGAGTATCCCTTTTCGATCACACGTCCGGTGTCTCTCCTGCACCTGCTGCCACTGCTGACAGTACGGTTCGCTCGCAGTGGACCACTCGTGATGCTGTTGCTCGCCCAGCTGTTCGTAGTCACCTGCCGTCTGCTGAGCGCGCGCACTTTGGCCAGTACAAGACTGCTAAGTCTTTGTATGACGCTGTCGTAGCGCGCTACTCCTCCCCTGCCACTGCTGCCCTCAGCCGCCTCATGCTTCCGTACCTGTTCCCTGACCTTGCCGCCTTTGCTACAGTCGCTGACCTCATTACTCACCTCCGCACTAGTGACGCCCGCTACCCGCGCTGCGCTTCCCACTGAGTTCTGTGCCAAGAACCCCCCCCCCCATGTACATCACCCTTTACTACCTAGTCACCCGTCTCCCTGACTCCCTTGCTTCAGTCAGGGACCACTTTCTCTCCCTTTGCCCCACCGAGCTCACCGTCGACCTGCTAGAGGAGCGCCTCACTGCAGCTGAGAAGAGTATCGTTGCTGTAGGTGCTTCTCGCGGCGACCCTCGTGCCCCTTTCTTTGAGGGGTGTTCCCCTGTCCCCCTTCTCCCCTCTGTTGCTTCTGCTGGTGCTGTCGACCTCGTTGGCACTGAGGAGGTCGGGGCTGCGTCTGCTCCTAGTGGGAGGCGCCGCAACAGCAAGGGCAAGGGGGGCAAGGGTGGTGGAGGGGACGGTGGGGGCGGCGGTGGAGGCGGTGGAGGAGGCGGAGGGGGTGGCGGGTGGAGGTGGGGGTGGTGGTGGGAGTAGGGGCTTCGGTGGCGACGGTGGGGGTGGTGGAGGCAGCGGCAGCGGCGGTGGAGCGGCAGCGGTGGTGGAGGTGGTGGCGGCGGTGGTGCTGGTCGAGGTGGAGCCGCCACAGCGTGGAGGCTTTGGTGGTAGCCAGCGCCAGCAGCAGCCGCGTTCCCGTGAGACCCCGTCGGCCTAGCAGCTTCGTGAGTGGTACGCTGGGCGTGGGAGGTCTGGGGGTGCTGGTCCCTGCACTTACGTTCTTCGCACCGGCGGGCGCCGTGGGGAGACGTGCGGGCTGCCACACACTACAAAGCGCTGCTTCGGTCGCCTGACTGTTGCCTGGCGCGCCCAGTTTCCTGACGATGTTGAGCTCCCTCGCTGGGGTGATCTGCTTAAGCAAAATGTGGCTATCTTTGATCTTGATTTCGATGCTATCCTTGCTGCCATGTATGCTGTGACTGATAGTGCTGAGGGTGACTGTTACCTGTGTGTACCGCCCGACCCGGGCATTGAGGCTGCTGCTCTAGGTGCTAGTGAGTCTGCTGCTCCAGGTGCTGGTGAGTCTGCTCTCTTTGGTACTGCACCTACTGAGGCCTTGCACACTTTCACACTTGACTGCGGTGCTTCGCGCTCTTTCTTTCGCGATAGCACCACACTCACGCCGCTCAATCGGCCGGTCGCAGTCTCCCTGGCTGACCCCTCTGGGGGTCCAGTCCTTGCTCACTCCTCCACGGTTTTACCGTGTCCTGCAGCCCCGTCAGGCTTGCTGTCGGGACTCCACCTCCCCTCGTTCTCTACGAACCTGGTGAGTGGAGCTGACCTCCAGGACGTGTGGGTTTGACCAGTTCACCCCTGGAGGTCAGCGTGTGACCCACTGCACTTGCTCTCGGACGGGCCGCCACCTGGCCACGTTCACCCGTCGGCCTGGGTCGAGTCTGTACACACTGACTACTGCGTCTCCTCCGGTTGCTGCGTCTGGTCAGGTAGCCGCGTCTGGTCAGGTATTTGCTGCTGCGTCCAGGTCTAGTCCGGCGTCTGCCCCCTGCTCGTGTCGTCCTCTGTCACACCAGACTCTCCTTTGGCACCACCGCCTTGGTCACCCCTCCCTGCCTCGTCTTCGAGGTATGGCCTCCCGTACCCTTGTCTCTGGTCTCCCCCGGTCCCTCCCTCCCCTTCCTCCGGGGCCTGCGCCTACCTGTGTTCCTTGTGTCGAGGGCCGGCAGCACGCCGCTCCTCACTCCTCCGAGTTCCCTCCGACAGAGGCTCCCCTGCAGACTCTCCACATGGACGTGTGGGGCCCAGCCTGTGTCCGTGGACAGGGTCACGAGCGTTACTTCCTACTGGTCGTTGACGACTACTCGTGTTACACCACAGTCTTCCCCTTGCGCCGCAAGGGTGAGGTCACTGAGGTGTTGATCGACTGGATCCGCGGTGCCCATCGCCAGCTCAGCGAGAGTTTCGGCTCGGACCTTCCTGTTCTGCGTCTGCACTCAGACAGAGGTGGTGAGTTTTCCTCCGACCTTCTGAGGGCTTTCTATCGTGCGGAGGGAATCCGCCAGACGTTCACGCTTCCGGCCTCCCCACAGCAAAATGGGATTGCTGAGCGCCGCATTGGCATGGTCGTGGACGTCGCTCGTACGTCCATGATCCATGCGGCTGCTCCCCATTTTCTGTGGCCGTTCGCGGTTCAGTACTTTGCGCATCAGATCAACCTTTAGCCTCGTGTCTCCTTGCCGGAGACCACACCTACTCTGCGGTGGACGGGGAAGGTTGGCGATGCGTCTGTGTTCCGTGTCTGGGGATCTCGAGCTTTTGTCCGCGATTCTTCCGCGGACAAGCTGTCCTCCCCGTGCTGTTCCCTGCGTCTTCCTTGGCTTCCCCCCTGACGCGCCTGGGTGGCAGTTTTACCACCCGACCACGCGTCGTGTTCTGTCCTCTCAGGACGTCACGTTTGACGAGTCGGTATCTTACTACCGTCTCTTTCCCTACCGCACTGCCCCTCTCCCCCCCCCGCCGCTCTTCCTAGCACCAGGTGCTCCTCCGGTAGACCCCCTCCCCCCTCAGGGTCCTGCCCCCTCAGGTGTGTCCCAGGTAGACCCTATCGAGCCTGTTGAGGTAGCTGTCGACTCTGGTACTGCTAGGGGTGCTGAGCCTGCGGGTGCGGGTGCGGGGCCTGGGGGTGCTGAGCCTGGGGTTCCAGAGTCTGGGGGTGCTGAGCCTGAGGGTGCGGAGCCTGGGGGTGCTGAGCCTGAGCGTGTGGAGCCTGGGGGTACTGAGCCTGGGGGTGCTGCGTCTGGGGGTGCTGAGCCTGAGCGTGCTGTGTCTGGAGGTCCTCCGGGTGTCTTGTCACGGCGGGAGTCCCTCTCTCCACAGCAGCTGCGAGAGTGGTACGCTCGGCGCTGTCGCCGTGTTGCTGGAGGTGCTGGAGTTGGAGCTGCTGGAGGTCCTGCTGGTGCTGGAGCTACTGGGGGCACTGGAGCCGCTGGTCCCGGAGGTGCTCGCACTGGAGTTGCTGGAGCTACTGGAGTTGGAGCTGCTGGAGGTCCTGCTGGTGCTGGAGCTGCTGGAGGTTCTGGAGCCGCTGGTCCCAGAGGTGCTCGTACTGGAGGTACTGGAGCTGCTGGAGCTGGTGGTGCTGCAGGAGTTGGAGCTGCTGCTGCTAGAGGTGCTACTGGTGCTGGAGCTGGTGGTGCAGCGGGAGTTGGAGCTGGTGCTACTGGAGGTGCTGCTTGTGCTGGAGCTGTTGATGCTGGAGGTGCTGCTGGAGCTGGAGCTGCTAGAGGTGCTGCAGCTGGTGGTGCTGCGGGAGTTGTAGCTGGGGACCCTGGAGCTGGGGGTACGGGTGCTGTCTCTGCTGGTTCTGGAGGCGCTGCACGGCCGCGGCCGTACTACGTTCCGCTCCTTCATCAGGTTCTTGGCCTCCCGCCTTCTACTGGTCCTACTCCTCCCTTACTGAGTCCACCACCTGTCCAGTCGCAGTCGCAGTTACAGCCAGCCTCTCCACTGCCTGGTCCTTCTCCTTACTCTGGACCGACTAGAGGTCTTACGGAGCGTCGTGAGCCTGAGTCTCGTCCTGCGTCACCTGAGTCTCGTCCTGCGTCGCCTGAGTCTCGTCCAGAGTCGCCTGTTCGCGCAGTCCGCACTGGTCGTCGTGTTCCGCGTCAGCGTCCTCCTCCTGTCCCCAGCACTCACTATATGACTCTGCGTCCTTCCACTGCTCCACAGCGTGTCCCTCTGCCGTCTCCTCCTGCGTCCTCTCTTCCTGACGGTCCGGACCCGGAGTCTGACTCCCTTCGTGCTGCTAGTCCTACTGTCACGCGTTTCCTGGCCACTGTTGTCACTGACCCTTCGTTTGAGTCCACTGCTGCGTCTGCTCTAGTTGCTGAGCTTGTTTACTTTGCTGCCGCCTGTCGTCTAGACTACGCCGCTAGCCTTGTTGCTGCGTCTGAGTCTGAGTCTGTCTGTCCTCCATCCGTCGGGGGTGAGTGTGCTCTTAGCACAGACGTCCTTGAGGACAGACAGGAGGAGTTTGAGTGCTTTGCCGCTGCTTTACCTCATCTCGTGTCCATGCTGCTTGCCCCTGAGGGAGACCCGGATGCACCAGACATCCCGACCCCGCGCTCTTACGCAGAGGCGATAGAGGGTCCCTACTCCTCTTAGTGGCAGACAGCCATGGACACAGAGATGGCTTCCTGGAAGTCCACAGGCACCTACGTTGACGAGGTTCCCCCGCCTGGGGCGAACATCGTCAGTGGCATGTGGATTTTCAGGATGAAGCGGCCACCGGGTTCTCCGCCTGTCTTCAAGGCGCGTTACGTTGCACGAGGCTTCAGTCAGCGACAGGGAGTTGACTTCTTCCATACCTTCTCCCCTACCCCGAAGATGACCACTCTTCGGGTGCTGCTGCACGTCGCCGCTCAGCGTGACTACGAGCTTCACTCTCTTGACTTCAGCACTGCTTTCCTACAGGGCAGCCTGCACGAGGAGATCTGGCTGCGCCGCCCACCTGGCTTCACTAGGTCGTTTCCTGCTGGTACCCAGTGGAGCCTCCGGCGGCCAGTCTACGGTCTCCGCCAGGCACCCCGTGAGTGGCACGACACACTGAGGACGACTCTTGCTGCTCTTGGGTTTGCTCCTTCTATTGCTGACCCATCACTGTTTCTACGCACCGACACCACTCTGCCGCCGTTCTACATTCTCGTGTACTTAGACGACTTGGTCTTTGCTACTGCTGACACTGAGGGACTCGCCCACGTGAAGTCGGAGCTGCAGAAGAGACACACGTGCACAGACCTGGGTGAGCTGACAAGCTATCTTGGCATGCGGATCACCCGGGACAGAGCACAGCGCACCATTTCCTTGACTCAGTCACACATGGTGCAGCAGGTCCTTCAGCGCTTCGGCTTCACATACTCCTCACCACAGTCCACTCCTCTGCCTACCGGTCACTCGCTCTCAGCTCCACCTTCGGACGAGTCTGTAGAGCCGAGTGGCCTGTATCCAGAGCTTGTGGGCTGCCTCATGTACCTGATGACCTGCACTCGACCTGACCTTGCCTACCCTCTTGGCATCCTAGCACGCTATGTCGCTCCTGGCCGACACAGGAAGGAGCACATGGATGCTGCTAAGAGGGTGTTGCGCTACTTGTGCAGTACGTCGGGCATGGGGCTCATGCTTGGAGGACGGGCTCGAGTTGTCCTCACTGGTCATGCAGACGCTTCTTGGGCTGACGACTTGGCTACGCAGCGGTCGTCACAGGGTTACACCTTCAGCCTTGGCTCCGGCTCTGTTTCTTGGCGGTCTACCCGCTCGTCTTCTGTTCTCAGCTCCAGTTGTGAGGCTGAGATCTACGCAGGGGCCATGGCTGCACAGGAGTTACGCTGGCTCACCTACCTGCTGATCGACCTGGGAGAGCCGCCTCGTTCTCCTCCAGTGATGTACGTCGACAACAAGGCCATGATTGCCTTGTGTCAGGAGCACAGACTGGAGCACAAAACAAAGCACATCGCTCTGCGCTACTTCCTTGCTCGAGAGTTGCAGCAGCGTGGTCAGCTTCGTCTTGCTTACGTGGCCACTCGGGCCAACACTGCTGATGTCTTCACCAAGGGGCTTCAGCCTTGTGATCATCAGCGTTTCTGTACTGTTCTAGGCCTTGTGCCTACTGTGCCTCACTTACTTACTTCTTGACTCTGCTTGTACTGTGATCTCTATACATATACCTGCATGCTTACACTTGCTAGGTTGTGATCACTGTATTGCTTGTTCTCCTTTATATAACTCTGCATGTGAACTGGCCTTGTTGCCATTTGCTTGTGCTGAGAATGCGTGGTGACGTCGTGATCCACCCTGAGCTTGCTTTGCCTTTCTTGACCGGTCTTGTGACCTCTTGTTCTCCCCCACTTTGCCTATGGGGGTGTGTCAAACTTATATGCTATAGTCTGTGTAGGCTGTAGTGGGGTAGTTCATATAGGGTACAACACTTTTAGGTTTCCTACTTGTACCCACCTGCTTGCTAGTTCAGTCATTCATTCCTTCACTATTCTGACAACGCTGCCATTCAGGATGTCTGGGTTGATACCTTTATTCCTGGAGGGCAGCGTGTGGCGATCTGTACGTGCTCCCGGACTGGCCGTCTCCTTGCTACGTTCACTCGACCGCCTGGTTCTAGTCTGTACACAGTGACCACTGCGTCTGCACAGGTGGTTGAGTCAGGTCAGGTGGCTGCGTCGAGTCAGGTGTCTGCGTCTGGTCAGCTTGCAGCGTCTTGCTCATGTCGGGTACTCTCCCATCAGACTCTCCTCTGGCACCACCGCCTCGGTCACCCCTCCCTGCCGCGTCTCTGCAACATGCACTCCCGTCTCCTTGTCTCTGGCCTTCCCAGGTCCCTGCCCTCCCTCCTGCGCTCGCCTGCCCGCCGTGCCTTCCCTACGTTGAGGGGCGGCGGCGCGCCGCTCCTCACTCCTCCGAGTTTCCTCCGACCACTGCTCCTCTGCAGACTCTCCACATGGACGTTTGGGGCCCGGCCCCCGTCGGTGGAACGGACCAGGAGCGCTACTTCCTGCTGGTTGTTGACGACTACACACGCTACACCACTGTCTTCCCCTTGCGGCGCAAGGCGGACGTCAGCGATGTTTTGATCCCCTGGATCCGTGCTACTCGTCGCCAGCTGCGCGAGCGGTTTCGTCAGGACTTCCCAGTCCTGCGTCTGGACTCTGACAGGGGCGGTGAGTTCTCTTCTTACCTCCTTGCGGAGTTCTGTCGAGACGAGGGCATCCGCCACACGTTCACGCTTCCGGCCTCTCCTCAGCAAAATGGGATTTCTGAGCGTCGGATTGGCTTGATCATGGAGGTTGCTCATACCTCCATGATCCATACGACTGCTCCCCATTTCCTGTGGACGTTTGCGGTCCGATACGCTGCGCATCAGCTCAACCTCTGGCCCCGTGTCTTTGAGCCAGAGACCTCGCCCACATTCCGGTGGACGGGGGCCCTAGAGTGGGTTGGAACCATAAGCTTGTGCATCATGTTATAACTTAAACCTCATATATGACTCTGTTTGGATCCTGGTGTCTTTCCAGGCTGTTTGAACTACTGTTGTATTTTATCTCTCACTCTTGTAGGTTTCTATAGGCAAATTCTGGGATATGGCATTCATGATGTCTCTTATTTCTAGTTTTTTATTATGTATGTGTTTATCTGCATTGCCAGTTAATAGATT